CCCCCAACCCTGGCACCCCCCCAGGGCCACCCCTACCTTGGGCTGGGGAGAAACGCTGCCATCTCCGTTCTCCAGCCTGCAGAGAGAGGAGCAAGACAGTGTTAGAGCCCCGCAGCCCACATCTGCGCTGGAGACAGAACGGGGTCCTGCAGCCCCCAAGGCCCCCCCGAGCATCCCTGCCCCACAGGGGAGTCCTGGCAGCATTTGACACCCTCCCTGTGGCTGGGAAAATCCCATGCTGGGGACAAGGTGGCCTGAGAGCTGCTGGCATCCCCCCAGTCTTGGCAATCATTGCTTTGTTGGCTGAAAGCTCAGCACCATGAAAAGTACAAACTCCCCGCCCCGGGTACGAGGAGTGCAGGACCCAGGGACACGGGCATCAGCAGTGGCATGGGGGGACAAAGCCAGGCTTTGTTTCGGATGGGGACATCCCTCCTTCCCTGGGGGACTCACGCTCGGGGCCGCCGGCGGTCCTGTGCTTGCTCCTGGACCAGCCCACCCAGGCGAGGGTCCTGGCTCGCCAGGTCCGCGAGGTTCTGTGGGAGGAAGATGCCCAGCGGTCAGCGTGGGGTGGTCACAGCCAGACCCCTCTGGGGACATTCTCCCCCCCTCTCGGCCCCACTCCTGGTACCTGCAGCAGAGCCGTGGTGCTGCGGTCGCCCTGCAGCAGCCGCCCGTAGAGCAGCACCCACTGGCTCACCAGCCTCAGGATCTTCCGTCGCTTGTGCAGGGAGTAGGTGGCCTTCTCCTGCTCCGAGCCCTCCAGCGGCTCCGCACGGAAACTGGGACCAGTCAAGGGCACCAACACGGTTGGTGGGGAGCAGGTGGGGACCCCCGTACGTGTGCAGCCAGGATAGGATGGGAGATAGGGGTATGCCCTGTGCCCAAGAGCCTGGGGGATTTGGGGCCCCCCTGGCCAACGCCTGAGGTCCCACCAGGGTGACAGGGACCAAGCTGAACGTTCTGGTCCCTGGAAGGGGGGGATGCATCACGTAGCATGGAGCCCGGTTCCCCCCCAAATCCAGCCACAGAAGGATATTGGTGCAGCAGAGCTCTGCAGAGCTGTGAGGTTGGCATGAACACGGTGTAAGTCAGCAGGAAATCCCCCAGCAGTGTATCTGCAAGAGATCAGGCCACCATCATTCACCCTTCGTGGTGTCCAGCAGGTTGGGGACATGGTGATCACAGCCAGGCAGTGCGGCTGACCGGGAAAGGGTCACCCATGCCCTGCGTGGGGTTGCCCTGTGGTGTCCCCCACCACAGTGACCATGCTCATTGCAGGTAATTTTTTGCTCCTAAACACCATGGAGAGGGCTGGCAAGGTTGCAGGCTTTGGAGGATGAAAGAAAATTAAATCACTTCTAGTGCAGCCCTCACAGTGAGTTAACTCCAGCGCAGCAGGTGATGAGGGCAGCACGGCAGCTCTTATTTTTTACCCACTGGGGACATCTCCTGGTTCCCGTCTCACCCAGTTTTGCTCCTCTCCAAAGGCAGAGGGAGATGGTGGGATGTGGGAGAGGAGATGCTCTCGGCCCTGGAGCTGCCTCCCTCTCCTAGTCCCAGTGGGGGATTTTAGGATGAGAGGAGAAGCTTTTTGGGGTTGAATACTGGGAATAAGGCAGCCCCACTCGGTGCTGGTCCCTCCACTGGCACCCTGTCCGCAGCCCCCTGCCCATCTCAGAGTGGCTCTGGGACATGGTCCCCAAAGCAGGGAGGAGATCCCCCACCTACCCATGGGGTCATAGAGCGTGGCATCCAGCCTCATGAACTCCAGCAGATGCTCCAGGATTTTCTCCGGTGTCCCAGCCATCACAAAGTACCTGGTGGGCAGAGCACCGGCCACATCAGGGAAGCGGCACCCCAGTTCTGGGCTTGGCCACCATGCTGGGCCACCCAACACAAGTGGTCAGCATGGCCTGGCATCCCTGTTTCCCCTCCAGGGACATGGTCCTCCCAGTAGACTCCTCCAGGGGAAGCCAGAAAGCAGCAGAGGAGGCAGGGGGACAGGCAGCATCGGCTTTGGCTGTATTTATGGCTGCAAGGAGGGATGGGGACAGGCTGCTGTCACCTGCTGCTCCGTGCCGTGGCTGACTGGCTGCTGCCACCTTGCAGGTTCTTCTGCAGGACGAGCACCACCTTCCCGTGCTCCTTCAGGCGCATGGTGTTGGCCTCCACATCCTAGAGAGAAAAACCAGCCATCAGCCCAGCTCGGCGCAACGCCTGGCTGGCTGGTTGCACCCCAAAACCCCATATTGGCATGCAGAAAAGCATCCTCTCCTCCAAACACCATGGAGAGGGTGCGTGGTGCGTCCCGGCTCGGACCCGGTGCCGTGTGAGCCCCCTGCTCACCTTGAGGATGTGGTTGAAGTCCTGCTTGTCCACGCGGAGGAAGTGGCAGTTGTCCTCTCGCAGGATGATGGTGGCCGCGCGGGGCGCGTCGTTCACCAGCGCCAGCTGCCCAAAGTCGTCCCCTTCGTGCAGGGTGGCCACCAAACCCTGGGTCGAGGGGAGCAAGGATGGTAAGGGATGGGGTGGGAGCCCCCGTTCTTACTGGGGGACAGTGACATGGGGTGTCTGGAGACCCTCGCTGTGCAGGGACGCACCTACCTTGCCATGGGTGACTACATTCACCGAGCCCTTCCAGATGATGTACCACGATGTGCCTTTGTCTCCTTGGCTGAACACTGCAGGGGAAACGGCAGCATCCAGCAGTTGAAGAGGGGGAGCCACAAGCATCCCTCTTCAGCCCCCCTGTCCTGAGCTCCCAGCCCAGGCGAACGCAGCGAGTGCTCCAGTCCCCTCCATCCCTAGTCCACGAAGAGACATCAGGAGCATCCACACTGATGGCAAAGGCTCCAGCCATCCTCCCCGGGCTGGGGACTTTTTCCTGGGGGACCAGCCAGCCAGCCCTGCATGGCTCCTGGGGCACACGATACTCACACACGGTGCCTGCTCTCTGGTGCGACTCGAACATCAGCACGGACGCCAGCTCCCGCTTCACCTGCGGCAAGAGGGTCACCTGCCATTAGGGTCACTCCAGCCCGGAGCTGAGCGAGGAGGGGACACGCATGGGCATGGGGGACAAGGTGGGAAGGGTGCCCAGGGATGCTCAGAGAGGGCCAGGAGAGGATGCCCAGATGGGAAGCGATGGGATGCGGGAGGATTTGGGGACCAGGTGCAGGTTAGGGAGGACATACACGCTGTGGGGGAAGCAGGGCACAGCCACACTCACCGAGTTGGAGAGATGAGCCACAGCTTTGATGTGGAGGAGCTCCTCAAATATGAGCTCCAGCTCATCCTCTGTGCGCTGGGCAGGCCTGGAAGGGGAGCGGGGGGTGAGCAGCCATCTGTACCCCCTCTGCCCACCCCGTCCCGGGGCACAGACACCCCTCTCCAGGCATGGAGACCCCTGCCCTGGCCGGGCAGCCTCTTTCTCCACCCCATGTGACAGTCATGGAAGAGATGCTCAGGTGACCCCATCCACAGCAGCCCCTTTGGTGCTCCAGACCCCCATGGAGCGGGGTCGAAATGAGCCTCATGTCCCCCCGCTGGCCCCTGGGGAGCACCCAGTCACTCACGGCTTGCGCAGGGCCATGGTGAGCAGCGCGTCGGGACCCAGCTGGGCCAGGAAGGCCAGTGCCTCCAGCAGCTCCTCCGCATCCCGAAGCCCAGCGCTGGGCTCGGGGCTCAGCTCCAGCTCGGCAAAACGGTAAAACTGGGTGTCCTTGTCCTGAAAATGCCACTCCTGCTTCACTGCGGGGGGGGGAGAGCGCCATGAGCTCAGCCGTGCACCCACGGGAGACCCACGGGGAACCACGTGCACCCGTGGGAGACCCCAGCATCCCCCAGCATGCCCATCTCGCCTTGCGAGACCCCGCCGCCGCGCAGGGGGCTGCCACCGCCCACCCTCACCGTGTGTCAGGACGCCTCCATCCACCAGCACCTGGCAGATGCCGATGGCTTGGCTGCGCGTCTGGACGGCGAGCCCGGCGCTCAGCAGCCAGTCCACCAGCTCTTTCCCGGAGCAGCACTGCCTGCAAGGGGAGAGGGCGTGAGAATCGCCCCCGAAATGGAGCTGTGGCACCCGGCACCCCGGGTGAACCCCTCCCTGGGATGGGCAGGAGAAGTCCTGCTGTCCTCGGAGGGCTGCCGGGGTCCTCGGCAGCCCGCGGTGCCCCCCAGCGTGGCAGGGGTGCTGGCCATCCCACCTGTGATGCCGCAGGTGATGCTTGTGGTCCCGGATGAGGCCAGGGCGAGTGCTGGTGAGGTGGATGAAGAGGAGCTTCCCGGCCCGCCAGATCTTCTCCGAGGATGCCTGGGGATGGAAAGGGATTATACGGCTTGCAGGGGAAGCGGGGAGGGCACGGGTGGCATACCTCGCACGGTCAACTGTGCCCCCAACGCCTTGCCAAGGTGCAATACACCCGCATGCCCACCCCAGCATCCCGGGATCTCCATCACCCACCCCTGGGAACAACTGAGCCCAAGGGATCGAGCAGCCCAGAGCCGAGCCCAGGACTCCATGGAATGGGGGTGCTCTGGCCCCCCACCCCTCACAGCCTTCAAGGCATGTTTCTCCACCCCCCACCCTCCCCAAACTCATGTCCTTGTAGGTTTTCCCAGCCCACCCACCTGGGTAAGGCTGTGTCCGTAGTCCAGGGTGGATTCAGTGTCCAAAAGTGGGGTCTGGAAAACCAAAAAGAGGGGGTTGGTGGCTGGGTGGGCTCTGCCATGCCCCCCCCTCACCCCACACACCCCAGGGGAGCTCCTGCCTCCCCCAAGGCACAGTTCATCCTCAGCTCTTTACCAGGCGAGGAGGCAAGCATCCCTGCATGCTCACCAGCACCGATCTCCTAAAACCGTGGCAAAGCCTTTACTCTGCCCCATCCTTGCTAAAAGCACACGTGTGTACCGGGGACCAAACCCCCAGCAACCCCCCGCGGTTATGTTTAACTTCAGAAAGGGAAGTGCATTCAAATAAGGGAGCTGGGAGATAAAAGAAGGAAGTGAAAAGTAAAATCTTTGCAAACAGGGATCAAAGACATCGTATTTGAGACATGGAGCTTGCCACTGGAGGAGAAGGACTTCAGAAAGACCTGGGGAAGCTGGCGCAGCCTCAGGGGAGGGAGAGATGTCTAAAGCCTGGGGGTTTTCCTCCAGCTTTGAAGCTGGGACCAAACAAAGAGGACAGAAAAGATCCCAAACTCCCTCAGGTTACAGGAACAACCCAAGAAAGGCTTGGAAAGCTGGAGGATCAGCTTGCAGAGGACACCAAGGACAGGACCCATGGCCAGCCTGTCCCACGGCAGATGATGGGGAGCAAGAGTTCTTGCAGAGGACAAGGGTGGCAGAGAGCCGAGGAGCACGTGCCCAAATCCTTCCCTGCAGGCAATGTGTCCGGGGACTGGTCTCAAATAACAGCACGGCCAGAAAAACTTATGCAATAAATCCTGAAAAATCAGCTGTAATAAACCATCGGGACGTGAGGTCCCTGGTGCCCAGAGGAGCACGGCAGCGAAAGAGCCGAATTGCTATGGGTGATGTGTAACCTCGTGCTTCCCTTGGTACTGAAGGGCTGGTGAATATGAAGCTGTTTTTCCAAAGGATTTTAGGGGAGATCCTGGAAACAATGGATCAGCAAGGCAAAAAGTCACTGAGCACATGCTGGGTATGGAGAAACAGCAGTGGGTAAAATTCAATAGGGACATGCCTAAAATAAAGCGTATTAGAAGAAAACAAGCCCAAATTTCCCTCGCTTGTGGTCAGAGGCTCTGAGCTCAAGCAGGAGCCCGTGGCGGTGACTGAAAATGTGAACTCAGGCCTCAACAGCTGTAAAAAAATGCAAATAGTGGGATGGGTGTCAGTAGGAAGAGAGCAAAATAGCAAACCACACTGATCCACAGCACAGCTGGTTCACCGGCAATTCAGTATTCCCTTAGCCTAAAGTACAAATCCACTCCCTTTGGGGATGGAAAACCCCCATCACCCACCAAGTTTTTGCTCTATTTAACTTAAATCCGCACGTGGTGAGTTGATCCAATGCTGTTTTCTAAACTGGCTCCTCTTTAATGCCTTCACTGTTTACCGATCCTAAAATAGCATCCCCCTTTTTGGCTCAGGGAGTCCCTCCCAGAGCGATCCGTCATCAGAGCATCAGGAATAGCTGGGGACCGTCTCCATCAGCAGCACATGCTGTGGTCTGAGCCACGGCCCCGCAGCGGGTCCCCGCTCTCCGGGATGGACCGGCTGCGACAACCACGGCACAACCCAGCATCGGGTTCAGCTCCGCTGGGAGCGATGCTGATCCCTGCCGGGCTACACTTGAGTCCTCAGCTTCTCCACGACCTCTCATCCCTTTGGATATTCCCCATCAGCAGGTGCTTTTTAGTCCTTGTGTTCATTTTTTCTCCCAGTTTTTTTCCCCTGGGGAGGGATTGCTCCAGGGAAAAGCAGAGCAACGAAGGGATGAGCCATTACCCACCCCAGCTGCAGCCCTCATCCCGGTGCAAAGCCGGCCGCGCTCCCATCCAGGTGCTGCCCAGAGGGATGAGGGCTTCCGCATGGCCGTGGCCCTGAATAAACAACCTTTCATCTCGGCTTCTCTGCTGCATAAATCATGGGCTGGGGGAAGCTGAGAGCACCCGTCAGACCTGTTCTCCACGCGCTGCCCTGGCCGAGGCAGTTAATGCACTTTGAGCATTAACCCCGAGACAGGGTGAGGGCCATCCTTCCTTGGGGTGTCTTCACCTGCACGGGGGTCATCTGGAGGGGAAGTTTTTGTGGTCCCCCCTGTTTATTTCTGGCTGTAAGGGGTCTGCAGCACTCCGGGCTGGCCGTGGAGGTGGTGGGCACTCGAAACACGGCATCTTCTGGGCCAGATCCTCCTCAGATCTGCTGGCTCTGGGCTGGCTGGGAAGGTTTGAGCAACCCCAGCAAGAGGGACGGTCCGGATGAAAGCCTCAATTAAGGAAGCCAAGGGGAGGAGTAATTAGCTGCAGAAACCTTCCTTGCAAATGAATTCAAGGACAAACGCACCCACCAGGAGCTGAGGGGAAACCAAAGAGCCCTGGCATCTCCTGGCCCAGGCAGGAGGGTGATGGAGGTGGACACCTGGTGGGTGCTCAGGTGGGTGCTCTGCCCTGCGCTGCCTGCTTGCCCGTCCCAAACCCTGCCTGCTTACACCCTGCCCGGTTCAGGCTGCTCCTTCATTTCCTCCAGCCCTTTCCATACCCCCAGGGCTTCCCCATCCTCCTCTGGCCAGCCCGGATGGCTCGAGCAACCAACCTGCCCCCAGCAGTTTGCAACTGGCGTAGGAGAAATTTGGGGAGCGGACGGAAAACAAGCGGCTCGGCGAACGCAGCAGGTCCCTGGGGACGCTCCCGACCCGGCCACGCTGCTGCTGAGGCTGGGACACCGTGACTTACTCATTCTGCAAACTTTCCTGAGCCTCGTGACTGCCCCGTGGAACAGGAAACGCACCGGCAATTGCAGAGCAAATGTTTGCAAATAGGAGCCAGGCTGTGGCCAGAGTGTGGAGCTACCTCCCGTGGGACCTGGAGGTCCATGTCACCCCCTTGGGTGCAAGCAAAATCTGCTCCAGTCCCCAAACAGCCTTTTCTGTCATCCTGTAAGTGAGGTCTGTCCTTGAGGCAGAGAGCCAGGACGTGCCATGGTCCTGCTCCAAGCTGCGCTCACAAGGACACTGAAGGAGACTGAGAAAAACCCTGCCTAAGGATGAGTGCTCGGAGCGATTTCTCCCTCCTGGGGTTTTCTCATTGCCAGACCAGGTCTGAACCACATGCAAAAATCTCATGGCTGGCCCCAAAAACCCCTTCCTGAAGCATCCTTGCTCCCCAGCTCCTGGGTCCAGACCCACAGGATGCCCTCCCCACCCTCAGCCCTTGCCTAATTGTCACAGCAACACGGCTGCCATCTCCAAACAGCTTCCTAAGGAGTTGCCTCTTTCCATCTTCCTGCTTATGGGACACGCGGCTGCTGAGATCCTGCCTGTCTCCAGAAATCCGGCAGCAGCGGGCGGCCGGCCAAGGTCGGCAGCGACCGTTCCGCGCTCACGCGCCGCTTTTGTTTGGAATCCCAAGGAAAACAACAGGAGTTATTTCAGGCTTTACGGCTCCGGAGAAAGTCCTCGCCCATCCGCAGCCTCAAAAGACACGGCAGCCAGCCAGGGGCTTGCTGTCCCCCCGGGAGCCTCGTCGGGGAGGGGGGCTTGGGGGACCCGCTCTGTCCCATCCGTCCTCTCCAGGGACGCAGTGACAGCCGGCACAATGGCACTTGTACTCTGGGAAGGGTGAAGGACGGAGCTGCTTGGGGACACCGGGCTGCGATATCCCGCTGATGCCAGCGAACGGGAGCCTGGGCTGGAGCCTCGTAGCAAGGAGCAGAGCTGGAAGGGATTTGCTGGTGCTGGGATCAGGCAAACAGGTCCCCAGGAGGGATGAGATGGAGCCAGGATGCGAGGAGGAGCTTCCAGGAGCCGTAGCGACGGGGACAAGGGACAATATTGCTGCTCCAAGGCACAGCCAGACGGTTCCCTGCCATTCACCTCTCCCATACCTGCCCTGAGGAATGGGTGCGCTGGGAGTACCTGCAAAAAGTGGGGAAAACACCCCCTTTCCCTGCAAAGATCACATCCACTCCCCTCAAATGGCCCGTGGTTGTCCCCATGCACAGGGGAGCTACCTGGGGAGGGGACACTCCTGCCACACTGCATCTGCCACTGTGCTGCCAGATTTTTTCAGATTTATCCTAGTCTGGCAGTTTAGCACAGTAATGCTCCAGCCTGCTGCTCTCCCGAGTTCCCTGGCTTTTTGCCACTTAAAAAAACCCTCCCAAAAATTAAGTTCCTAAGAGTACTGGGGAGAAAAAAATCAGGAAAAAGGGGAAAAGAGAAGAAAGCTTTCTTATTTGTGAAGGAGCTTGCATGCTGCATAGAAATGCTGAAAGGGGGGTTGTTGCCTTTAAGTAATTTCACTTTTTTCCTTAAAAATGTTTGTTTCTGGTCAAGCAGTGTGGGAAGGGGAAAGTCACAAAGCTCAGCTGGGGCAGGTGAACAGGCTCCAGGGTCATCTCCCAGCCCAAAGGGGACAGAGAAGAGACCCAGAGTGGGGACCGGGTGCCTTTTCCACCCCAGGGACCCCCAAGAGACCAGCAGCTCCTGGCCAGGGAACAGCACGGACCCAGGGAGGGAGGACGTGATGCCGAGCATCGTCCCGCTGCCAAGCGATAAGTTTCTCTTGTCGAAACACCGTGACCTGGCAGGGAGGGAACGTTTTGAACCCCACATGTTGCAGGGCCGCAGGGAAGATCTTTCCTGTTCACACGCTTGGGGTTGGGGTGTGCTGCCCGACCGCCGTGTGCCGGAGCACAATAGCACCGGGCTCATTTCATGCCTGGTTGCCAGCTCTGCCTAGAGAAGGGGTTAGGGCAGGCGGCTGCAAAAATGCCTCGCTCCCTGCACGCTTCGCCTCGCAGGCAGCAAACACGAGGGGGGAGCAGGGCTCGGGTCACAGATCACAACCCGCTGCCAGGCCAGCTGGGAAAGCAGGGAAGGGCCCAGCCCTGCCCTGCAAAGTCCTGCTTAGGAAACGGGGCCGGAGGCAGCGATAAACCCGGGGGACCCCGCTTGGCCCTTGCGGGGGCTTCCCCGCCCCCCCCCGCAACCGTCCCCCGAAACCCTGCGGCCAGCTAAGCGCAGACCCCCCCGGTGCAAGGAGGGATGCTGAGAGGGGCGGAGGGGACAGCTGGCTGTAAAGGGGGTTCCTCGGTTTGGGGACCGTCCCCCGGGGGCTCTCGGGGTTGGGGGGTTCCGTCCCCCTCCCGCCCGCCCCCTCACTCACCCAGCGGATGCCCTGGATGCGGGGCAGGCTGCTCCCCTCGCCCTCCAGCCGGATCTCGTAGCTTGAGCTCCGGAATAAGTGCATCTTCTTGAGGAGCCCCGAAAGCCGGTTACCGTCAGTGCCGGGTCCCCCGGGGGGCGGCGGTGACGAAGGCGGGGGGAGACGAGAGGACGAAGGCGGAGGGGGACGAACGGCACCGGTCCCCGGTTCCAGCCCGGTTCGTCGCGTTCTTTGCCGGCTCCGGGCTACCGGCACCGATCCCGGGCCGCTCCTCGCCGCCTCCCCGCCCGCTCCGGTTCCGCGCACCTTCATGCGGCGGCGGGGGCGGGGGGGGGGGGCGAAGCCATCGCGGCCGCAGCCCGGTGCTGCTCCGGCTGCGGCGGAGGCTCCGCGGGGGCCGTTCGGGACGGGACGGGACGGGACGG